ACGGCTGTTCTTGAGCTGGTGAAGGAGGAAATTGCTGTTTTTCAGGGCAAAATCCAGATTTTTGAATATACAAAAATCTGGGGATCAATGTGGCCAAGAAAGTGGATGAGCTGGAGGAGAAACTTAAGGGGAGATGAACCAAATTAAGACTACAGTTGAGGACAGAATTTCATCTATGGAAGGGCAAGAGCTAACTTACATGACATGATGAAGATGTTAGAATTCCACAACCAAACGGCGACTTCAGCGGCGAAAGGGCCAGAAGGAAAGAATACGAATTTTGAAATTCGTAAGGATGAAGATGAGGTGGAGATCGTAGAGGGAGAAAGGAGAAGACCCCATCTGGAGCCTATCCAGAGGGAGGACATAGGAGGGAGGTATGGGGAAAGGCATGGGTATGGGGTGAGGAGCAAAATGGTGTTGAATGGGAACGCATTGAGGGATATTATGCCCGCCGAGGTGCTGATTTTGAAGGAATGAGAGGGGAATTCGAATAAGGTTTTGGGCATGAAAGGGCAAGGGAAGATCAAGAGACTTGGGAAAGAGGAAACTATGGAGTAGTAAAGGGAAATGTGAGAGATCAAAAGGTGAGGAAGCTGAATATGCCTATTTTCGAAGGGGAGGACGCGCAAGGGTGGATCTATAAGGCGGAGAGATACTTCGTCAATGGGTTGACGGAGGAGGAGAAGTTGGCAGCATCATGATTATGTTTGGAGAAGAAGGCACTGTCATGGTACCAGTGGAGGGACCAGAGGAGATTCCTACGGAGCTGGAGAGAGTTCAATGATTATTTAATAGAACGTTTCCAAACCGACAGGAGAGGAGACTTCTATGAGCAATTCTTTGCACTAGTGCAGGACAGATCAGTGGCAGACTATCGAGAGAGATTTGAACATCTGGACACTCGAGTGGATAGATTTTCAAAGATGGCATTGAAAGGGAACTTCCTAAATGGGCTCAAATCTGAGATCAGAGTTGCAGTAAAGGTCACGAGGCTTCGTGACTTGGGAGAGGCCATGGAGTTGACACAGCTAGTGGAAAATCAGAGATATCATGAGAGGGGAGCCCAGACCAGCAATTCAGGAGTCTTTTATAGGACGACGACCACATTTTTAGCACCCAAGGGTCTGACAGCAGGAGGATTTTGTAAGACCACTAGGGAGAAGCCGATAGGAGGAGGAAGCATGGAAAATTTCAAGAGACTAACGGAGAAGGAAATGCATGAAAAGATAGAAAGGGGGTTATGTTTCAACTGTGATGAGAATCATACTCCATGGCATAAGTGTAGAGACTGAACTCTTCAGGTTCTCACCGTTTGTGATGACGAGGAAACTGAAGAGGGAGGCAATGGAGAGGTAGGGGAAGAGATGAAAGAGAAGCTACATCTGGATCTAGCAAAGGTTTCCCTGAACTTGGTGGTAGGATTCACTATGAATCATACCATAAAGGTGAAAGGGAAGATAGAGGACAGGGAAGTAGTGGTACTGATTGACAGTGAGGCTACCCACAATTTCATTTCCACTCAGGTCGTCGACCAACTAGAAGTGAAATTGGTGGACACCGGTTATTATGGGGTGATGATGGGTATGGGGAAGGTAGAGAAAGGCCAGGGGATCTACAGAGGAGTGATGTTGATCATTCAAAGGCTTAATGGTGGAGGATTTTCTCTCACTGAAGTTAGGAAGTACATACATCATCTTGAGGATGAAGTGGTTGTGGACCTTGGGGGGGACACCAAGGTCAATTAGGGAGCAACACTCACGATGGAGTTAATGGTGGATGGAAAAAAAAGGTGGTGATAAGGGGAGATGCAGGGCTATCCAAAGCTATGATATCTCTCAAAATCATGGTGAGGAGTATACATGAGGTGGGGGAAGGTTTTCTAGTGGAGTTGCACAGACTGGAGGGAGTTAGATTGGAAGAGGGAGGGGACATACCTCTCTCAGTCCGGCCTTTGATTCAGCAATTCCAAGAGGTTTTTCAGCCACCTAAAGGATCGCCATCACCAAGTGAGCGGGAGCATGCTATGACCTAGAGGGAAGGTGTATCGCACATCAGCATCAAGCCCTATCGCTATTCTCAATTTCAGAAAGATGAGATTGAGAAGTTGATTAGAGAGATGCTGGAGGCAGGGATTATCAAGCCAATGTTAGTCCTTTTTCTAGTTCAGTATTACTGGTTAAGAAAAAAGATGGCAACTGAGGTTTTGTATGGACTAATAAGGAGATTGTGCCATACAAGTTTCCTATATCATTAATTGATGAGTTGTTGGATGAGCTGAGTGGGACAGTAATCTTCACTAAGATAGATCTGAAGTCAGGATATCATCAGATCATAATGAAGAAGAAAGATGTGCCCAAGACTGCTTTCAAAACTCATGAGGGGCATTAAAAGTTCCTAGTGATGCCTTTTGGCCTTATTAACGCATCAGCCATGTTCCAGTCACTCATGAACAAGGTCTTCAGACCTTATCTCTGGTAGTTTGTCTTGGCGTCCTTTGATGATATCCTAGTTTATAGCAGGACAAAGGAGGAGCATTAGGAACACTCGAGGAGGGTACTAGAGGTAATGCAGGAGCATCAGCTGAGAGCCAACCTAAAGAAATGTTGTTTTGTCCAGGCCAGTGTGGAGTATTTGGGTCATATTATGTCCAAAGTGGAGACCAGTCAAAAAATTGAGGCTATGTTGAGACGGCCAGTACCTAAGAATCTGAAGAAGCTGAGAGGATTCCTATGATTGACAGAATACTACAGGAGGTTCGTGAAGGGGTACAGCATCATAGCATGGCCACTAACGGAACAATTGAAGAATGTTGGGTTCTTATGGGGGGAGTAGGCACAGCCGCTTTGGAGTGCTTGAAGAAGGCTATGATGATTGTATGACGGGACGACACGGACGAGACGACGGGATCCCGTGCGGTTGAGGGAGATCAAGAGAGAGCGGGTCAGGACTCGTGCTCGTGTAGCGGGAACAGGACAGATCACGGGACGAAAATGCGAGTCAGGGTGGTTTCTTACGGATGGGAGCAGAATGAAAAGCAAGATGTCGTCAATGGTTCAGTCGGGTGCAGAAGATCGTGATTGAGGGCAGAAGGCTAACGCGTCGGCCGTCGGTCAACTTTCTGTTCCCTCATGCATCTGCGTGCGAGTAAGGGAAAATGAGAGAGCAAGAGAGTTCAATTCCTCCATGTTCTTCTATGTGTGAGGGAGAGATAGAGAGAGCGGGAGTTCCTGTGTGCATGAGAGTCGAATGGGATAGTTTTGTCTCCTGCGTGTGTTTTTGTGAAATCGAGAGGGTGTGTCCATTTAATTGTGTCGTTTGAGAGTCATTAGCGTGCATGAGGTGGTTACGAGGAGTTAGTGGGTTGTGAGTGGTTATGAGGGTTGGTGGTCAACAATAAGCTTCAACCTTCATGGCTTGGCTTCCTATTCTAAGCTTCTCCCACGCCCATCATGCCTAAAAGGATGTTAGACCTAAATCCATCGATGGGTGACGACAAAACCTAAGTATAGATTAAGTATAACAAAGATAGAGAAGGAAGAATGAGAGAACAAAAAAAAATCTCTAGGATACTACTAGATTGCTGATTGAAAGTCCAAGTTAATGTGATTTCATTCAATCAAAATGTACCATAATCACTGTTTTTATTCCACATGTAGGACTCAACCTTTAACCATCTATTTATAGATTTAAGTTAAGGTTAAATGTCATCTGAAAAATTATATGTAATCAAAGATTCAAAATGTATAATTATATCACTGCTTTAGTGCTTTTATTCCACGTGTTAGACTCAACCTTTGACCATCTATTTATAGGCTTAGGTCAAAGTTAAATGCCATTTGAAAAGTTATATTTAAATAACACAAATAAAATTACATAAGAAGGTTTAGCAATGCCTCATAAAAAAAAAGTCCTAAATATTTATTATCAAAATACATAGGTAACTTTTGATGAGCCCCACTGTTGAGGGTGAGATCATTTGAAGAAGAGCTATCTTTGGTGAACTTTCACAATGAGATGCATATAGAGATCAATGACATATTCATGGGTGAGTTAATTTTGAGTAGGCGAGTAGCGTTGACAACCTCAATTATAGAGTTCGCATGCAAGAGATCATTTCTCTTTGCAACTTCAGTTTTGTGGTGAATTGATTTTCATGACTTTAATTGAATGCTATAGTGAGTTTGTTACAAGGCTTCCCAATTTTACTAAACCTTATTCATAATAGCATTGTAACTTGATTAACTCAGCCCATGCGGCATTGGGTGTACATTTCAGTAACTTTATTGTCATAATATAGTATGTATGTAAAGTAAAAATAGTAGCCAATATGCATACATGTCTGGACAATATATGTCAACATGTTGCACATATTCTTTCAAATCTTTCGGTCAAGAGTATTTTTCAAGTGAGAAAATTGAAATCTTATCATTAAACAGGCAGATAGCTTTTGATTAAAATCTTGTTGCTAAGTCTAGAATATCCCAAGGCATATCATTGGTTTATTGCCATAACTGATTTCAGTTGTGATTCAGTACACCACAATAATCCAAAATCAGACTACATATATATATATATATATATATTCGGGCGGGAAGGTTGAAGCAAAGAGAAGAGAGAAAGCACAAGAAGATTCTGTTGTAGGAAATAGAAAATTGTTTAGTCAGGTTTACACTCCTTGATTTATTAGAGCAAGAACTTAGATAATAACTGTGCGCATCAATGTTTTTCTACTCCATTCCTTCATGGAGGATCTTCCTCGCCTCCTCAACCCTTTGATGAAAGCGCCTAAAGTTTTATTGTCTTTAATTGTTTTCCTATTTATTTTTGTTTTCTGTGGTGTTATAATTATTATCATTATATCCTCAAAAATATTATCCTCGTCACAACTATTTGGAGGTCTTCTACATTGTATTATAAAATGTTCATAAATGTTATCTAGTAGTAATCCTCTCGTAAGTGATACAAGAAAGCATGCAGCTAAAAAAAGAACATCTCACCTGCAAATGCATCTGACCGCAGAAAAGATCTTAGCTCAACAATCACAGTCCCGCCATTCTTCTGGTCATCCCTCTCCTGAAGTCCATCCTTGGACACAACTACTTGCGGACTTCCTAGGGCTGTTGAAATGAGAACAAAGAGAAGTTGAATGACCCGACTAGTGTAAAAGAGAGCTGATAAGTTTGGAAGAAAGCTCACGATTGAGGCAGGTCAAGAAAAAAGAGAATAAGATGTTGAGTATGACAGCATAGCCAACCAAGGCACAAGCACCGATCCAGAACCAATAACTTTCAGCAAACAAGCCATAACCTTTCAGAATTTCCTTCCCCAAAGACACATTACTCTTTCCCACATTCTGCAAAAGCAAAAGGAAAAAAATTACTTTCATGTCAACACTTCGTACTAGGATTTCCACATTCGCAACTGGGGAACTTAGGAACATAAGCTCAAAGAACAAGCGTCAAAATGTGGAAGATTTTACCAACATGCTATAATTTAAGACAAAATAACCACAAATTTGCCAATTTTGAAGATGGCCATAACGTTAACAAGGTAACCCAAAAAAAAAAAAAACAGTTTACATAAGGTAACTACAAAGAGATGGTAATAACTCATGAATCAATTTTTGAACAATGTTGAATATCAAAAATTGATGCATGAGTTACAACTGAAAAGAAAAGGCTTGCCGTTTTTAGGATCTTTGTTACGATCTATACTTTTCTACTTTCTCATTTGAAACTTTACAAAATCTGCTTTAAAGGCCAAAGTTTTTATTATGCTATGATAAAAAAAAAAACTATATGAAAAGCTGTCCGATTTTTAATTTGTTCATCCAAACTGCCCTCTCAATTTTGCTGGCTATTTTCCAATGAAAAATAGATATGAAACTAAAGCAAATGAATACTAAGAATGTAGTGCATTGCTAGGATTGCCAAAGGGGCCACAGTTTTTTCTTACCATGGAGATTATCATGAAGAGCCACAGAGATTTGCATCCAACCAATGCATCAATTTGTCTGAGGAAGTCATTTGAGATACATTCCACTTTCTTGATCCATAAACACTCAAAATCTAAGACTTCACATGATTAGTGGCCCCACCCTAGGAACACGTATAGTCTTGGATTGTGGCCTCAATTTTTGTGTGCGCAAGGACCTAGAGCAGCATACAACTATGAGGAGACTTTATTCTTAGTCAGAGAGGGTGATCTCTCGTAATTCCTATCAACTTGGATCCTCGGAGCATGTGTTATAGCGACTAAGATATTGTTGACCACTGATCCCACATCACGCACGTTCACTCCCCAAACGACACAACTGCTCGTTCTCTACTTATCACACGCAAGGATAACGCCTCCGGGACTCTTTGGACTTCTCTGTTCGTTTGCAGGAACCGCACGAAGGAGACGCCCGCTCTCTCTCTCGCTTTATGTGTGTCGCACACGAGACCCTCTCTCCCGATCTCCCTCTCACGTGATAGCCGCACGCAGGAGCCTATCTGAAGCCCGATCCCCCTCTCTGATCGTTCACTCGACTTCACCGACCCCGTCATCCCGATCCCAGCCTGACCTCCCTCTCTCGTTCGCTCTTGGACGAACGCAGAACCCCCAGCCGCCGACCCTCTCTCCCTCTCGTTCGCTCAATCCCGCACGCCGGAGCCGGAGCCGGAGCCGAAGCAATCGATCCCCTCTCTCTCGTCTCTTTGTTCCGCATGCCAAGGGCCAAAGTCATCTCAACCTCCGACCCATCCTGTTCAACCCGACGCCAGTGCTCGCGCAAAAATCCACCCGCCACTGCCTCTTACAATCCCAGCCCGTTTCCTCTCGTTTTCCTCATGAGAATGCAAAGTAGGTAATGAGTGTATTTAAAAAAAAAAAATAAAAGAGAGAGATAGAGAGAAGAAAGAAAAAAAAAAAAGAGAAAAAATAAAAAATGAATTTAAGAAAAAAAGAAAAAAAAAATAGGTACTAACCAAACTTTATTAATGATTATTATCGCCAACGAGCTAAACGACGAAAAAATGATATAACTGTGTCAAAAACCTATGCGAAAATTACATTACATTTTTAATAAAATGATAAATACATATTGAGAAAAAAAATAATTGTAAAGCAAATAATTGCATACTAGCAATTGACTGATATAGTATATTAAATTATTTGATACTTTATAGATATATACTTCACTATTTTTCAAATGTTTACGTTCATTGCTTATACATTATAATGAAGTTTTTTTACTTATCAAATCCTCAAAGCAAGTTTTGACTTATAAGCGTTGCATTAAGCTAGTTATATTTGTGAAGATAAAATGCTCATATTAGTACATATAATCAACATGGCATGTTATAATTTTTTCTTGTATATTCGAACATTATATTAGAATTGTTTAACCCACTAAACGTGTAGCTCATCAGATAGTCAAAATGTGATTTTTAGGCGAGGAAAGAATCAATTGGGGTCGTAAGCAAGTGATTAGTTTTGCTATTTACCATAGCTTTTTTGGGTATATAGTTTTGGATGTATTATAGAAGAATATGAATATGATGTAAATTAAAGACTTGATTAGAAAAATCTTGAGCATTGGTGAGAAATATTTCTAAATGGATTGTCTATCTCTTATACCTCATGGTATGGGCGAATTATTACGTCACTCCGGACACTCAATTTAGACGAGTCATGGACCCAAATACACTGGGTCCATATGTCTTTTGATGACATGGCGCGTCTGGATTGATATCCGGACGAATCCGAACACGGGACGTAATAATTTGCCCATGGTATGAGAGTCAAAATAGGATGTGACACGTATAGCATTGGCCTCCTTTTTAGATCTCCCTCTATAAGCCCCAAGCAAAGAATATCAGGGAGGGAGTAAAATAAAGAAGAGGTGGGTAGTTGACATGCTTTTAAGGATTAATACCTCAATTTAATTCTTTTATTTTTTTTTCTTGATCATAAAAAGCTAATCTTTAACAAAGGAACGTAAATGGACCGAACGATGCACTTCAAAGGAGGCACAGTAATCTATACTTTTCTTCATATTTTGCCCCAAGAGCACAGGTAATTGGAATAAGCTTTACAGAACATGAAATGAGGCTTGACCTAATCAGCATGAGTCTGATGCAAAGATCAAACAACTGAGGAGACTGCTACAGCAATGAATTTATAGAATTTTGCATGGCTGCCACTATAAATATGCAAATATAGCCTAGGACACCACAACAGGACAAGATTGTTGAGCTCATGAACAAATAATTTGAATGAAAAAGTGAGATGCTTTAAGTTGCATGGTGGATACCAAAATATATTTTGGATCAATTATTTTTTAATATAAGTGACCTGAATAAGTGTAGACTAATAAGGATATAAATCTTTCTAATTTAAAGGTTTATGGATGCTTCTCAATGTGCATGTGGAATCTGCTTAGAGTTATTTCGATGGCTATGGAGTTGAGGACCTTAACTGACAAAGTTCTACATGGGGTCTTGGTTGGGTACCCATTGGTTACTCATGCTTTACTCGGACGGGCTTCCCCCACCCACGCCCACCAATTGTGACTTTCAAGATGCCGCACTGATGAGGACATCCATAGGAGATTTCGGCACACTTATCATCGGAGGGGTCGTCGAGCGACGGCCATGATTCATAGTCTTTATTTTTTGATGTTTTATTTTATTCTTGTCATTTATATTTCATATTTTTCATTTGTACCCCTATGAGGGAGTTAGTGTTTATTGTAGCCCAAGGGCAATGTCGTCTTAATGGTTTTTATTTTCGGATGACCTATATATAGGCTTAGTTATTGTATTTGAGTTTAGTTTTTGGATGAATGAAAATTTGCCTCTTATATTCTCTTTGTGAGTTCAACCCTCCTCAATCTCTTAGTGAGTTCGTCGGAGAAGATAGATCTCTTTGTGAGTTCTATATTTTCGCCAAACTAATTTTGTCTTCGATAGTTCTAAATTTTCGCCAAGTTATTTTCGTGGAGATCCGGTTTGAAGATAATTGAGGTGAGTGGAATTTGTTTTGCAAATCAAATCCCTAGAAATTCCCCTCCTCCCTTACACCTTTAATCCTTTCCCTCCTAGCTTAATTTCAAGATTCAAAATTCTGAAACTGAAATTTTGCTCTCTACAATTTTGGAAATCTGAAATAAAATTCAGATTTTGTGTTTTACCCCCATAGCCTCACCCGCCCCTCTCTTCCCCCCCAACCCGTGACCTCCCTCCCTCTCCCTAGCTCACGGCAAGCCCTCCCACCTCCCTATTTCTTCTTCCCTATTCAATCCCACGATGCATGGTGAATCCTGAACTTGAAGGCGAACTTGTGTTCGACGTCTACGAAGACATCCATATACTTCGATCCCCATTCTTTGACGTGGGGGGTTTGACCACGACGACACCATCGAATGTTACTTGGATTGAATTCTCCTAACCCTTGTGCACGTCATCGATGGTCAATTCTCATACTACAACTGGACCATCAACGAACATCCACCCGCTCCTCCACCTTCACCATCGCCGCTTCCCTCACCATCACTACGGATCGTCTGCGCCGTCTACCTTGGAGTGATCTCGTTTCTCGTATGGTTCTTCTTCCTCCGACAATCCTAGAAGTAGAAGAGTGACTTTGTGCCTCAAGGTGAGGCGATTACTTTGTTAACCGTCGGATTCTAGTTGGCTAATCATTTCATTACGTTCATTGAAGTTGTTATTTTAAGGAACTTGTAAATTTTAGTTGTAACGACTTGCCTACGCACTATTAACTTCTAAAATCTTTCTTGATTTGTCAAATTTGAGAAGTATTAAATTATTTTATCATTGCTCTAACAACTTTGTATTAATTTCTAAGAAAGCAATTCCTGGTTTCACATCACGCACTCACCAATACTCACCCACTTTCCATGCTTTTTGAACGCAATCTACCACAGACTTATGACCTTGAGGCTTGTTGCCCTTTGCTCTGATCGCAAACTTTCAAGCTGCATATCATAATTTATCATAGTCACAGCGTGGTTAAGTGTTGCACACTACGTAGTGAGAATTAAGGTAATATAAGATGTACGATGATTAGCAATGTAAATTGATTTATCCACCGATGTTGAGTACCCACCCACAAGGACATGGGCGTACCCATACCCACACATACTCATTGGGTATGGGTGGGTATATGGGTGGGTATATGGGTGGGTATATGGGTACCCAATGCAGGCCTCTATTAACTAAGCCAAAAAAGACAACAAATACCTAAAATCCTTTGTGGACTTCTCCTACAAGGCGGCCGGACACTTCAACTTCGCCGGAGAGAGGCGGCGCCGGCGGGAAGGTTGGCCGACCGGACGGGCTCCTCAGTTTTTCGCGATCTGGAGCTTACGGGCGGAACAATTCGGGAATCAAGTGGGCCGATCGGGTGTGGGGGAAAAGGAGGAGTCATTTTAAGTAGGTGGGGCCTTTTGGCTGAGACGTACGCCTCCCTCAAAATTGCGCAATTGCGCAACAGAGGCGCGCCTCAGCCAATGTGAGACGTACGCCTCAACAATGCCAGCAATTGCGCACGCCTCGAGGCGTGTTTTGCAAGAATTGCGCAGAGGCGCGCATCTTATTGCGCAATTTTAAACAGAGATCTAGATACAGCCAAAGCCTGAGCATATTTATGATTGAGTTGAGAATATCTCAATGGATACTAAAACTATTTGTTAAAGAACAAATGATTACATTCATGTACATAAATAAACAACAACAACATCAAGTCTTTATTTTACTATGTGGGGAGTATGTACATAAATAGGAAAAAAATCTTAATTTAGTGGGTTAAAACATATCAAACTTCATTACTTATCGGCTCGTTCAATTGAGAATAAAAAAAAATTTAAAACTATTTATCAGGCATATTAGTTCACTTGAGCCATATATAAGATTCTTCAGTTCTCAAACAAATGAAAATTTGGTCTTCACAAAGGTGGTACCAACCATTATTGTTATTTCCATCAAGATCCAATCAAAGCAAACATGCAGACAATTATTATCATGGCAAAATAATTCCTAATAAAAATCATGAAATAGTTTATAGTTATTTTCTACTTGGTCATATGCAACTGGTAAAACTTAATTAACACAAAACACATAAATAGACATAACAAATAATGAACAGGAGCAGAGATCTATCATATTATATAATGAGCAGCCAAAAGCTACCTACCTTATCCCATGAATGCCCAAGGAATTCATTTACAGCGCCAGCATTTTGAGCATACATCAAAGGTGAAATCCAATATCCCCAAATCCACCAGCTTGGAATACTATCTGTTAAAAGCAAAAAATGATAAAAAATTACAACTTAAAATAAGACATTAAAAGCATTCAAGCATGAAAATGAAAACATAAACAAAATTGATATGCTTTAACCTCTAGAAATGATAAATCCACCGAGAATCATGACAACCAGCATAGCAAATGATCCAAAGGTGTTAGCAACTATCATATTGCGACCTAAGGCTGCCATCACACGAAAGAGAGCCAAAGACATCTGATGCAAGAAGAAAAGCAATAGGAACTGACTGAAAAATCTGCATATCGAAACGTTATGATTATAAACTCATTTACACATCAAAATACAAGGCCCAAATCACGATTACAACAAAAGAGATTGAAAATAATACCTATTAATTTGTGGATCAAAGCCAATCACATAGTATGTGACTGCCACCCACATGGCAGACTCTATAAAAGAAGTTGGAATACTAAGGATCCATGAAGGAAGTACATATGTCCATGGAGGGTAAAAATGCAAATCCCTGTGCTTGTAAAGAACTGGAAGCTTTGCAATCAACAATGCAACTTCTGTGAACCCGTTGAATAGAATCATAATTGTCGCAAAATATAATGCACCAAGATAGACAATACCATCATCAACATCATTGTGATGCATTGTTGACCGAAAAAACACAGTCATCGTAATAAGAGCAACAAGCAGAAGCTGCAAAGTCAGCATTGAATAGTCACATTGTAAAGGCTCATAAAAGAAGCAATTCAGCCAAATGAAAAATATATCTTTTAATTTTTTAAAAGAGGAAACAAAGGTCCTGAAAAGAAAGATATATGAAATGAAGAAGTTTCAAATAATCTTACAGGTGTCACGTTTTTATTTTAAAGGTAGTCCCAACATGACAAGTATCAGTTATGAAGACTGCATGTGTTAAGGCATAGACAGCATGGAGTATAGTTTCACTTAAAATAATTGAACCATATGTTGGTGTAGAAATACAAAGGATTTGGCTATCAACCTTAGGCTTAGACTTTCTAGTTGAAGATGGGTTTACTCATTAGTGTATCAAGGCCAACTTTTGTGCTCCTTTGATTTACTTCCTAACAAGTAATATCATAATTGATGGTTCGCATGGAATCAAGCGGTTCATGCAATTTCTGGCTCCAATGGGTCTTGACCCTTCCACCACAGACGAGTAAAGTTGCTTCCCATTATTGATCCACATGATTGAATGGGCCCTTTATATTTGATGATATTTTTTTTCGGGGGGAGGAAGGGGTGGTCTATGTGAAGAGCATTCACATGGGAGCATTCAGTTTGATCCGACATTAGATAGCTCAAAGATATTTTGGTGTAGGAATACCATGTGGGAACTCGCCTAAAGACTTAAGCTATTGAGTTGAAAGCAGGGTTGAAAGCAGGTTTAATCATAGGTGTATCCAGTCCAACTTTGGACCACCTTTGATCCACACTCCCTAACAGCATGTGAGTACTGGAGCACACATTAAAAGTTCAACATATAATAAGATGCTAAAAAATTTTATTATAACTATTACACATGAAAATCTACAATAAATGTGTTCATAAGAGAAAAAAAAAGTCTGTCACTGTTAATTGTGGAGATGTAAAGTTTATTCTTTTCTTGGCTAGTGTCTGTGATTTCACTTGTAGTCCTTGCTGTTGCAGAATAACATTTGCTTTTTACTAAGTGACTTCAAAAATCTCGGCTAGGCTAGACAAGCAAAATGCTCCCTATGAAAAAGATTTGCAGTGATAAAACTACTAGGAACATGTTTTTTCTCCACGTAGGACTACATCGCCTACTAAAGAAGATGTTTTGACTACGATAATCTTTAATCATAATATAGCAATTCAATTATTCCATTCATATTGAGGATTACAAGTGCAAAGTCATATATACCTGAATGAACTTGAAGATGTAAACAAATGAGTTCCGTTTCATCAATAACAGCTGCCAGTGAAAATTTGCCTTGAGAAGCTCAAACCTTTTAACCCCGTAGCAAGAAGTTGATAGAGCAGCAGGATGATTATGTTCTTTGTTAAATGGAACTTCCAATTCATCATTCAATCTCTTACCAACATTTGATAATCTAAAACCTTCAACAAATTTTGCTACAGGAATAAACTGGTATGGTCTGTCAAAAGAAGACCAGTATTGCTGTTGGTCTTTCTTAGATATAACCTGGATTACAAAGTCGAAGAGAAAACAGATATCATGTAAACTATTGAATCCTAAAACACACTGATTAACAAGAAATAAAATGAACTCGCATACTTCTTGCAAAAAGTCAGCCACATTTTTCCTCTCAGGACAACTAAATCCCATGGCTGCAAAGAAGTCTAACGCTGCAACACGTGGACCTTGATAAACAATGTGTCCCTCAGATATGAGTATGATATCATCAAATAACTCAAAAGTTTCTGGAGCTGGTTGCAACAAAGAGATAATTGTGGTTCCATCAAGAGCTTGGGTTGAGTGCCTAAGATATTTAATTATTTGATAAGTAGTTGAGCTGTCAAGCCCAGTTGATATCTCATCCATTAATAACACTCTAGCTGGACCAACTAGTAATTCACCTGGGTGACCGATAAAGTGATTTTACCATTAACATAAAGTGCAAGTTAAGTATGAGGAAGCGCTGACTAAGAAGAGGAAAGAAAATGTAAGAGGTATAATCCAAATAATGACAGAATCACAATGCTGTTAAACCTGTGGTAAGGCGCTTCTTCTGGCCACCAGATATCCCTTTGATCATCTCGTCTCCTACTAGTGTGTCGGCACAAATATCCAGGCCTAAAATCTTTCATGAGTAAAACTTAGCACTTCAGAGAATATTAAGAACTGATTAAGAAATGAAAATATTTCTAATACATAAAATATACGGAAAAACAAGTTAAATAAGCATCAGGATTTTTCAATGATCATCCCGCATTTGTAATATATCTGTAGAACATTCTTTTTTAATAGAACAAAACATTTTAGTGATAGTTCAGACAAATTTGGCATATTTATTAGTTTGTGCTAATCTATTAATTTACACACATCAATAAGTTCAGAATATAATCTCCATCTAATCACCCTGTCAATTAGTGCATTTTACATTAAAATCAACGAGATGAATGAGATAAGGATTGAAGTGACTGTAATTTCAATAAACGCTCAGCTTAAGCAATTACTATACTTAAAAATATTGATATAAAGGTTAATAAAATAAAAGCCTAAAGTTTCTTCTTCATCATTTTGAACTAGCCAAATTTATCACATAACAATAAGTTTAAGCATAGTCTTTCCAAGAAACTAACGTTGGTACAAGCAGCATGAACAGTAATCTCATAAGCATGAAATCAACTTCAAGCAAAAAGGGAATGTTTCATTATTTAGAATACAATTACCATTGGAGAAGGGGATTTCAAAAATTAACATGATTGCCAAAGCACAAAAGTTGACTACAACAGAAATTTCGCTTATCTGAAAAATGCGAGCAATTGCCTATTTTTAACCATAAAACTTTAAAGAATGCTTATTCCCCACATGTAATGGATTTATGGAAATTTACCCTAAGAAACAAAAGGGCAACCTCGAAAATCACAAGACATGTAGTTTTGAACGAGAAGTGTTTTATTGAAGTTACATCTTAATTCTCATATCATGTTCAGGCTTTCTTTTATAATTTGTGTCAATAGTAGTTCTAACCACATAGATCCAAAACCATGCTGACTTTGCTTGATTGATCCAAACGTATTGTGCAGAATTAAAAAAATAATGAATGAAGGCAATCCCTTGTGGGACCCATTATATACCTAATGGAATGCATGAGGTGCATGACGTTTGAGTATCTGCTTTTTTGCTTAACCTCCAAGTTGTTGAAAGTCATGCAAGATCATGGCAATGTTAATTGTAGAATAGCAATTTCAAGCTTATTTTGGACTTTTCTAGAGGAGATGCAGAAGAAAGTTAAAAAAGGTCTCACCGCGCAACCCACCATCAGGATTTGGACAATATTCTGCATTGTTCTTTGGATTATTAAAAATACAAACATGAGAACTACAGAATATCCCTTCAATAAGAATTCTTTGTCTATAATCTCTCTTGTTGTACAGAGTTTTCCTATTGCTTGTATCGAGATACTTTGGCTTCCCTTGTGGTAATATTTAGGTTTGATTAAGTTCATAAGAGTGCTCCCGTTTGGTCATTGATTGTAGCTTTTGTAGTTTCTCATTAGCAGATTAAATATTATCTACTCTCCATTGAATTTAAATTAAAATTGAACCATGTAAATCATACTGTATTAGTGTCATTGATGCCTATTCATTCAATTAGCCTGATCCTAATAGGGCTTTCAGACATACCTGACTTCGTCCTAATAGTCTTCAAAGTTAATAACAGGACAATCTAATTAGTAAGTTCTTAGTCAATTGGATTCATGCTTTTCAAACATTTTTAATAAATATAAAATAGCATATGATTAATGAACCTCCTTACCTTTATTATATACTCTACCACAAGGCTGGTCTGCTTTCCCTCCAAAGCTAATGCCTAAACTAGAAAAAATGATAATTTAGATTGGCCAACAATCTATTAAAAAATAAAAAAAATTCTCCATCTGCAACTACATACCTTCATAAATATATCAAGATCCTCGTCAGGCTTAATCCCTGCATTCTTCTCCCTTCTAGAAAGCTCCATGAGCATATCTAGAACAAACATCATGCTTAGTAACATGTTTAACAAATTCAATTATAATTGGAGCAATTTCCAAGTTTATTATCATTACCATATTTTATTCCCACACCCTGACATCGACCTGAAAATTCTAAAGTTTCTCTGACCGTCATTTCAGAAGCATGCAGATCAACTTGACTAACATAAGCCGATGTTCTTTGAGGAACAAACTCACTTAGCCTGTGTCCATTGTAAGTAATGTTCCCAGACATCTGTTACACAAAGTAAGTAATCTAAAAAGAAAAACAAAAAAGATGTTGACAAATACAAGGTACAAAAAGGATAGAGTTAAATTTATAGCATGAAAATTTTACTTTTCATTTCAATCTTTGACAATATTATGATTATGATCATTTTAGGGCAATTCATACCATATTTTGAGCAACTCTTTATTATCATTATGATGGTATCATTCTAATGATTGAACTAAGAAAATATACTATAAATCAATTTCACCTAATAAAACTGTCTATAGCAAAATAGATAAATAAATGAAAGCTTAAGAGAACCATATGCTATTAATTTCTAGGAAAACAATAACTAAAACTAATAACAATTTTGGATTCTTTTATTACAAATAAAAAATGAATATCACTCTTCCACCAAATTAATTGAGTTAAATTGCAAATCTTAATAAACCCTGAGACGAAATAATAGAAAATGGAATAGAAGGAGACCAAAGAAAGAGAATAGTAGCATATACATTTTCGTAAAGAAATCATCATCTAATGATTTTAACAAGCCCAAGATAAATGGAAGATGTCGATAGAATTCTAACATAATCTTTGTCTCAAGGGAAAAGTCGGCAAAATTGGGGGACAATATCAACTTGACTGAAACCCCCTAGGTGATAACTTACAAACTCAAAAAACGTTGAAATTAAAATGAACAATCCTATAGGCCAAATCATTATTTTGAGAAAAAAAATAGAAAAATAAAAAAGGGGTGCATAGACACAAGGGAAGCTATTCATACTAATTAAATTGATAATCTTACATTTGCACTTAAATCCTTCTATTGAAATAATTAAAAAATTTAAAACAAAATATCAAAATGATAGGAAGCCTAATCTTATGTACCTAATATGTACATACATATACTAATATAGCTAACGATTGATTATAGCTTGAATCCTATATCAACTCCTCATAGAAACTTAATGATTGATCTGTTGCTCAAGTTGGCAAATATTACCAAACAAGATATAGTTTATGATTTTATATTGTCGAAATATGTGAAAAGGGTATACTCAATGCACGATTGTCCGACTAAACTATATTGGGGAGGTTTGGTATACACAAATTTACATGTACATTACAAAATAGAATCCTATCATGTGAATAACCTCTAATTTACAATGAAAGCAACCAAATCTTTGTGGCATGCCGATCAACTAAAAACAAATTAAACACTATTGACTAAAATCTTTAGATCATTGAAGGGCCATGAGAGGGTAGTAGTGAATCTATGCATAGGTGATTAATGGATATTCTTATGCTTATTTTGAGTAATAAGTGTCTCTTTTTATACTTTTGTGATAGTTCATAACATTTGCATGAGAATGCACAGGTGTATTTTTGGTATGCTTTTCGAATGTTCTAACGAAGTTAGTATAGATCATTTACCTGTAAATCAGTATTGAGCCGTCCAGCAAGAGCTAAAAGTAAAGTTGTCTTTCCAGAGCTTGGAGGACCCAAAAGCAGTGTCAATCTGTAGCAATGACAAAAACATAATCTAGCAGCTAGTACCTCTTTAATAGTCGATACATTAAAGTGAAATTTCCTCTTCACCTAGAAGGCTGCACTATCCCGCTAATATTATCCAGAATGGACAATTTCTTTCTCCTACCTGGAAAAATCTTTAACTGCCTCAAGAAGGCCTTGTCAAGACAGCTAAAAGCAAGTTAGATAATCCCGAATAAATTCCAAGAACCACATTCATAAAATAAAAAACCTTCTGCAGCATATATTCCCTGTAAAGACCATCTATCAATAGTGACATATAAGTGAAACCAAAGTTGAAGTAGTGAATAGTGCGCTGCTGCGCTCCAGAAAAAAAAAAAAAAGTTGAAGTAGTGAATAGTTATTATAAGGTGATTATTCATTGAGAATTTTGAGAAAGTATAGATGAAGAACTACTCCACCTGAATGGCAGACTAATTAAATAACGCCATTGGGAGCCATCAATCTCTTTCAAGAAAAATCATCCAAAAGAAGTCTACAATAGATAAGACATGTTGTCGCTTAAGGCTTGAGCTGGTATGGACTATTCAATCATGAGACTATAGCTATCTTTTTTGTGTTGTTCAGGATAGTTAGCTAAAATGGTGCAAATGCTCAATGCAGAGCGAAAAAAGAAATAAAAAATAAATAATTGTAAATAGAATCAAAAGAAGTCAAACCATAAACTCAATATTCAACAATATAATAATTTTGTGACAATTCAAAAATATTATGAATTATCATTTATTAACATATAGTGTTGACATTCTAATGCATGCTAAAGACTCAAAAGACCCGTCTGACCTAACAAGCGTTCAAGCCTTCAGAGCACTAAAAGTTGGCAACTCAATATAGTTATCACCATAAGCCAATAGGGGTAAAAAATATAAAAATTTTAAAAACAAATATGCATCATGATATCATAATATTGTCAATAGACAAAGGAAAGAAAAACAAATTACCTCTGTCATGTTGTAAATAAAATTAGGAATCGTAGGTAAAGCTCTGCTTCCCGTATAAACATATGCGTCAACTTTCAGCTCCTGGAATCGAACCTCAATTTTAGGAAATTCAAGGTTTACTCTGCAAAATCAACACAGGAAAGGTGACACGGAAATCAGCAAATAAAAGTAAATCATGAAGCAAGCTCCTGTTACAATGCATCATTAAGGCACATAACTAAGTAGATACAGACCAAAGTTTAAAGATGAACAAGGAAAATCTAATTACAAGTTCACAACCAAAAAATAAGAAACTGATAATCCTAAAAGCAAGTGCTAGTCTAAAAAGCTCTATGAATAAATGATTAAAGCATCCGATGAGCATGCAATGCAAAAGACTGAGAAGAGCAAAACAAGTCTAAAAAGTTGCGGCAAGAAGCAAAACTGCTGAAGTGAGAACGACGCAAAAAAAAAAAAAACTTACGCGTCGAATCTCTGGCGAATTCTCTGGAAAAACCGCTCGGGGTCGCCGAAGTCTCCAAGGAGGCGGTCGATTAGGGCAGTGCGTTCACGAAATGTCAAATTCGCCACGTCAACTTCCGAAAAATCGCCAGCGTCGCGCCGTATAATCCCGCGGCGGATACGAGCAAAAGTTGGGAGACGCTCTAGTGCCGCCCACCTGAGCGCCTCCTCCTCCTCCTCTGCGCATTCTCGGTAGGAGCTCGAACGGGAGAAAGCCGCCTCCGTGGAGCTCCACATTCTGAGTTAACCCTTGAGCTAACCCTAACTTTCGTCCTAATCTGGATGAAGGCAGTGAGATAAAGAGCGGATGGGTTTTAAATGCGCAGGCATCGGAGAGAGGAGGACGACGATGGATGGCCAGTAAGCATTTCAATCCAACAGCAAAGCAAATGTGGGGTCTTTCAGACGAGCAGCATTAACTCTCTCTGTCTCTCTCCTTTTGTTAAAGAGCTCAGTCAGTCCAAAGACAGTTGGAGGGAAGAGGCAAAACAGAGAAGACTGAAAGAAAAAGATGAGGGAAATAGCACAAATTTTATACGTAACGATGGTAATAATTTTATTATTAAATTATATCTGAAAAAAAAATATTTTAATTACTACGGAGGGACGGATGGAAGATGGGAACTACATGAATAAATTTTAATTACTGATTATGTGAGTGACTGTCTTTAGTATATAAATATATATTATTAGTCATTCTGATTGATATATCTCAAGCCAAAATTGAGTTGAAATCCGAACTCCGATTTCAATAAATTTATAGTAGAACTGAACATCTCGAAAAAACCGACCCAACAATACTAAATTCGGTCCATTCGGGGTCGAAATGGGTCCAAATTTATTTCTTTGCTCATGAAATATTATGTAGCTATCTTAATGCGTAATGATAATTGAATTGGGTGATTATGGATTTATTGAATTAGGTATATTTGATTCAAATCAAGGCGCATTTGGTTTTATTAGGGTTATATAGTTAAACATTTTTTTCTTGGCTATAAATTTATTTTTACAAAGTAAATTCTAAAGCTAAATTTAGATGGAATTTCTTGAAATTAACATTTTATGACAGAAATTAACTTGAAAGTTTGAGAATTTTGTTATGCCATCAATTATCTTAGTTGATTTAATTATTTATTTTTTAGCATCATGCTAAATAACAACAAAGAAACATATCATGTTGACCAACAAAAAGTTAAAATTTCATAAGAGAGTAATATTGATGATTCATGCAATGCTTGCGTACGCTGAACGTCGTTCGGAAACCAATCAAAATGTATCACGTCACCCGCGGCTCGGTACAGCATGGTATCGAGGCTCGGTATTGCCCGGTACAGCTGATGTGGCTGCACTTGATTGACCTCCAGACAAGAGATGCGTCTGATGTCCACATAGAATAATTTCTCCAATTTCTGATGATCTAGCACTATGTAAGTCATTTATAAGTTTTTTATTATTTATTTTTTTCTAAACTTCTAATAAATGTAAGAAATTTTAAATCCCCACAACTATCTTATTCTATATTTGTTACACTCCCACCGAGAAAGCTCCAAAATTCTGCTTGTTTTTCTCATAATTATTTATGAATATAGTTAATTTGCTGGGAAATGTAATAGCATCAACAACTTTAATGCAAGTAATAATAATACAAAATAAATGAATGATTACAAGCAAATTGATAGACATATGGCTCTATATTATTGCGGAATAAGTTTTTTTTTTTTTTTGGGAAATTGCGGAATAAGTTTACACATAAATGATCCCCCAAAAACTTTATGGAATAATGAGTAATCAACAAAAATTTTTTTTAAAACTTGATATTTCAAGCGATGTATTATTTGCACTTCATATTTGCCACTACAAGCAATATTTAGAGCAATTAATATACTTGTTGTGTCCTGGAATATTCACAGAGGTAGAGAATTATGAAGTTTAACGTCTTAACGTTGTACGAAAATCCATTACACAATCAGATAAGAGAGAGGGTGTAGCGTTCATAAGAGACACAAGAGTTTTTATGTGGAAACCCCTGAAAAGGGAAAAAATCACGGGGTCTGGCCCAGTTTGAATGAATCCACTAGTATTTGTAGTCAATTACAAATGAGATCTTTCCTTGGGAGAAGGCCTTGGCTTGATGGTACAAATGTACATCATATAGAGCACATTACATGGTGGGAGTTATAATATAGGCATGTTTGTTTGGTCGACATAACCATAGTCGTTATGATAGAGGTCGAAAATATCGTTGTCTGGTGATGGAGGTCGGAAGGACCATAGTAGGTGACGGATGTCGGAAGGACCGTAGTCGGCAGGAGACAGAGGTTAGAAAGACCGTTGTCTAGTGATGGAGGTCGGAAGGATTGTAGTAGGCAACGAAGGTCGGAAGGACCATAGTCGGCAGTATATAGGGGTCCAAAAGACCGTTGTAGTAGGGCAGTACTCTAGTAGAACTATGGGCATCAAGTGGTGGCCTGACAGAAGTTCGGGCCATAAGTAGTGGTCTGGTAGAAGTCCAAGCCTCAGGTGGTGGTCCGGTAGAAGTTCGGGCGTCAGGTAGTTGTCCAGCAGAAGTTCGGGCCTCATGTGGTGGTCTGGCTAAAGTCCGGGCTACAAGTAGTGATCTGACATAAGTCTGAGCCTCAAGTGGTGGTCTGGTAGAACTCTGGGCATCAAGTGGTGGTCTGGTAGAACTCTAGGCGTCAAGTGGTGGTCCGGCGAAAGCTTGGGCCTCAAGTGGTGGTCCAACATAAGTCTGGGCCTCAGGTGGTGGTCTGGCAGAACTCCAAGCGTCGGTCTGGCAGGAGTCTGGGCCTCTAGTGGTGGTCCGACAGAAGTATGGGCCTCATGTGGTGGTATAGCGGAAGTCTGGGCCTCAAGTGTTAGTCCAACATAAGTTCAGGCCTCAGGCGGTGGTTCAGCAGAGCTCTGGGGCTCAAGTGGTGGTCCGGCGGAGCTCAGGACCTCAAGTGGAGGTCTAGCGGAGCAACGACGTCAGACGGTGGTCCGGCGGAGGAGAGGGCCTCCAGTGGTGGTCTGGCGAAGGTGATGGTCTCAAGTGGTGGTCCAGCGGAGCAATGACGTCAGGCGGTGGTCCGACGGAGGTGAGGGCCTCAAGTGGTGGTTCGGCAGAGCAACAATGTCATGCGGTGGTTGAGGAGGAGCTTCTTCATTCTCTTTTTCCTTCTATTCTCTTCTTATCTTATTGCTTGGATCCCTTTTCAAGATAAATGAGGGGTCTATTTATAAATTTTTTGAGTGGCACGGCCTGTAAATAGGTGAGAGATCACGAGTAAATGGGGAGTGGTTGGATGGACGGCCGATGTTGAATCCCTTGATCATGGACTGTTTGATGGACATTTGAATGTCTTAGTGATGTCGGATTTTGGTGATCTTGGGCTTGTTGGATTTGTCTCGTCGAGCCGCTCGATTCGACTTAAGCACGTTAAGTTTAGAAATCGTTTGGTGATCCAAATTGTGGTTTGATTCTTCCAATAATGCTTTTAACCCTTGATTTGGACCCGTTTAGGCTCGGATTGGGTTGGATTTGGTGATGTTGGGTTCGTATTCTTGAGACGCTCATTTTGATTATAAGTTTGCTGAAATTGGAGTTCGAATGGTCCCAATTTTAATTTCAGAAGTTTCCAACTTGATTTTGCATCAAGATTCGTGTCCGGACAATATAATTTTTTGATGACGTATCAATACTATATGTGCAAAAATAATCTAAGTTAAACCTTCCTAAAATTTAAAATGAACTATCTTGTTATATCATATATATCTGACACATCAGGGCAGTTGATGGCCTGCTTTCTCTTGGCTTGTGGAAAATTGAGATTATTGTTTTGTAATATTAATCAAATAATTCAACAGCAACATCAAGCCTTTATCCCACTACTTGGGGTCAACTTCATGAATATATTTTTCTCAACTGTGTTCTGTTAATACTCAACTTCTCATTTAAATCTAAGAAAAAATTTATTTCTAATATTTTCTAACCAAGTCTTTTTAGTTCTACATCTACCTCTCTTAACATAGGCCAAATCTAATACATCTAGTCTCCTATTCGGGTCATCGAAATGCCAACATTTAATTTGACAATATCATATAAGGAAACCCTCTCTAATATTTATCTGCCACTGAAGTTACTCCAATATTTTCACTTAAAAAAAGCCTTTTAACTTGTATACTTGTTTCACATTCTGTAACTAAAAGTGAAGCCACTCGTCCACCTAAACATCCTCATCTCTGCAATAGTTAACTTAATTTTATGCTTTTCCTTTAATGGTCAGCATTTTGTATCATAAAGCATTGTAGGTCTCACCACCATTCTCAAATTATTCATCTAATATAATTATGTTAAATTCACAGGCCTTTAAGTAGTGCCAAAGTAGCTCAAGTAATATAAAGAATCAATATGATGCAAAAAAAAAAAAAATCCTATTTAAATATTAGTAACATACTTTTAATAAGTTAAAAAAATTCTCACAATATTACCTAACCATGATGTTGGAGTATTTAACTCATGGAACCACTCTATGCTTATAGTGCCAACTTCTATCTCCCTCTCTTTGGAATTGTCTATCCCTAGTCATTAATGGAGGGCAATTCCTTCTCATCTATAGGCAAAGAGAATCAATGGTACATTAATTCATGGGAGTGCATCTCCTCCATGATGGATATATGAAATTCTCAATCATGAAAGCATTTTTATGGACATTGTTCTAAAATTTCCCCAATGAAGTAACTCTCAAAGAATGTGTAACTTTTTGTCATTTTCTTGAACTCAGTATCATTTGGGAACCCTTCAAAATTCAACTAGCTAGGCCGCTGAAGAAAACTTTGTGATTTGAAAGGCCGTGTTCTTCCCTCCAAAGTTGAACACAATGGAAAACTTATCGTTCTCATCATCATCAATCTTCCTCAATGGTAAATAATGAATGAGCAACCAAAGAAATGCATTTGCCTCAAGTTTTCAAAGCAACTATGTATATAACTAGAGTCAACTATGTTTGTGACTCGAGTTAGATAATGATGCTTAACTAGTAAAATTAAATCAAGCATCTATATACATAATACACCAACCTAAATCAGTAAATAGTAAAATATTCTTCAAACCACATTCAATAATCATTAAATAATATTGAATCATGATCAAACCATCATGATAAGCAAAAATGGTCGACATATTCAATGAATCTTCATAACATCTTCAACCCACGATTTAGTAATATTCAAAATAAGTTTGATGCATTATATCATTGCACGTCCTTATTGCAACCTTATTTTAACTCTCGATCGAACCTTCTTCAATCCTTCTTCGAAAACTATTCAACATGATAAATGAAGGTTCGAATATGTACTAGATCAAGTGTTCGAATAAGGCTATAACGCGTCAAAATTAGTTTGAATATTGCTAAAGTGTAAGTTAGAAGACATTAAGAAGACTCATAAAATAGTTCAATC